TCAGTAGAAAATACTTATTTCTTTTGTTTTAACTTCAAGAAGACGTCCATGGGAAAAGGAGTGAGTCTTTAAAAAATGTATGATCTACTTTCTTAAAAGGAAGCCCTTAAAAATCAATCTGGTGTATATGTAATTTTAAAATAAAAGCGTTTATATTTTCTTTATGTTATGTCTTATCTAAAATTCTTATAGATGAGCATTAATTAAAAGCCAAGATTAACTGTTTTTTTCAAGGAACAATACTTAGGGAATGTTTCTTCCCGTGGCTGTAAGTGAGATGTCCTCCAGCCCCACTCCCAGTGCAGTTTCATCACACCGACTGTTCGGCAAAAACATTCCAAAGATTGACCTATTATGCAAAGATATAGACAGAAATCATTTGAGTATCCCATATTTTTACTCTAAATCCGGGAAAAGATCTTGCTGCTATCAAATGAGCAGGAATAAACCATTCCTTATGAAAACTGAGTACTCTACATATCAAGAATCCCAGGTATTAATATTCCAATTTGAAAGCTGAATTGTGAAAAAATACTCAATTTTACAGGTCCAATAGACTCGAAACTGACAGAGGTGACCAAAGCTCAGTCAGCTTAGATGGTGCTCAACTGACAAAACTGCTTGCTAGCCTCATACAAAAGAAGGTATGATGTTAAATTCTCATTTAATCTTTGATCTTTCAGAATAGGAATCCTGGGGAAGGCTATAGCATTCTAACTTCCCATGAAAAAATAGAGCCAGCAAAAAACTAAGTAAGACATGATCTCTACCTTCAAGGAATTTACAGTCTAATAAGGGAGGAAAGTTAAGGGCCTATAATGAAGAAGAATGTGATACCTGTCATAAGAGAGACACAGTATTGTGACATGGTTAAGAGGGTGGGCTCTGGACTCAGACTGCCTAGTTTTGAACTATGGCTTTATCACCTACTAGATACACGACATTGTGCAAGTTAAATTGCTTCACCTTTTCCCACCTCTGTTTCTCTATCTGTAAAATGGGAACGGTAGTACCCTTTCCAAGAGGAATCCTGAGAGCAGTAAGACTTGGTGTAATTCTAAGATATTTCTTTTGGTGACTCATTTCTATGCAATAGTGTTTGAGCGTGTCTTTAAAAGTGTTCTTAAGTTGTAGTGCTTGGTGTACTATCCATGGCAAATTAGAGGCCTGTGTTGAAGTCAGAAAACCTAGTGTCTGCGTCCAGCCCTTCCTAAACTCTCATAAACATTTCACTTCTGTGCCTTAGGTTTGTTCTCTATTTAAATGAGCATAGGAAGTTCCACAACAGCAGGAACCTTAGTCTTGTTCAACATCTGGAACAGTGCTTGGCACATCGTAGATGCTGGATAAATGTTGATGCAGCACAACTCGAGGATATTATGAAGATGGTGATACAATAGGCGTGGAAGTAATTTTGAGAAAGAATCATAAGTACTACACAAAAATGGTTGGCTTTCCTTGTTAAAGATTCCCAAGAGAGATAAGAGATAAGAAAGGATCGCTACTACATTTCTCTGCCGGGAGCCATGCTTGGGATTTGGAGTCAGAGGATCTTGCGTTGAGTCGTTGCTCTATCACTTAAGGCTTTGTAACTTCAGATAAGTAATTTAACCTCTTTGAGCTTCACTTCCTTCACCAGCATTTTTGGGTTATCAACCATGCTTTAGAATATTTTTTAGAGCTCCAGAGATCAGTGAATTAAAGGCACTTGTGAACTACGAATAGTAACAAGTACACATGTACTACGAAATGGTGACTTTTCATTGTTCTACATTAGAGAACTAGAAATCATAAAAAGCACAATTGTATTCCTATTACTCACGTCTAAGGTAGAGAAGATAAAGTTGTATTGTCCCCCAAACAGAGTTGATCTTCTTTAAAACACAGGGAAAAATGGATCACCTCCCTGTCTTTTATACACAGTCAGACGAGCAGAGCTGCATGAGGGAACTTCTCTCCATCGTCGTACCAGCTCCCTTTAGTTGTTGCACCTAGCTGCTTCTATGCCAGCTCCAAAAATAGTGCCAGTCTGAAGGAAGACATGTACTGGCTAGAACTGTTATAAGGAATTGGTTAACGTCCCATCAGAGGTTACAGGCTTATGTAAAAAAAAAAAATCCTTCTCTCATTCCCCTTATCTTACATAAAATGCCTGGCCAGAGTCCAATTCCTGTTTGCATTTTTCATTTGTAAAAGTTCAAAGTTCAAAAAATTATTTTTTATTATCTGTTTCTATACTTGATGGATCTCTGCAAAAAAATCTTTATCCAGACCCTCACGGTTTATGTTCTGAGCAAATAATATCTATAAATACGTATTCCTTTTTGATTATTTTTCTTTCAAATGTATTCAGGCAGCCTCTATGATTTAGTTGTAGGATTAAATTTGAATACGTTTTTAAATATAAACTTACAAACTCGAAGAAAGTACTCTTTTACTTTCCATAATAGACTAAGTCAGTTACACTATGGAAACTAATTTACTCTTGAAATTCAACTTAGCAACATTACTTAGAAGAATTTGTGTCTAAGGAGAATCTAAGAAAGATTGGGGTGGTTAATTCCATCACTCATGAGCCTTTTGTTGTTGTTGTTATGTCTCTTTAGACTTCTAAAAAATATAATAGCTTTATTGGTATATAATTCACGTACTATCCAATCGACCCATTTAAAGTGTTCGATTTAGTGAATGGGTTCCAGTGTATTCAAAAAATTGTGCAACTCTCACCACTATCTGTTCCTAGAATATTTTTGTCACCCCCAAAGAAGACCTCATACCCATTAAGTAGTTCCCCTGCCTTCTCACTTCCCCCAGACCCTTATAACCGCTAATCTGCTTTTTGACTCTGTGGGTTTGCCTACTCTGGATATTTAATGTGAATGGAACCATACAGTATGTCGCCTTGTGACTGGCTTCTTTTACTTTGTATGATGATTTTGAGGTTTATTCATGTTGTAGCATGTATCAGTACTTGGTTCCTTTTAATGGTAGAATAATATTCCACTTTGTGTATATATCACATTTTGTGTAACCATTCATCTCTTCATGGACCCTTGGGTTGTTTCCGCCTCTTGGCTGTCGTGAATAGTGCTGTGAACATAAGTGCACAAATATCTCTTCTAGACCCTGCTTTCAATTCTTCTTGGTATATTCCTGGGCGGAGAAGTGCTAGGTTATGTGGGCGTAGATGTGCTAGGTTATGTGGTAACTGTTTAACATTTTGAGGAACTGTCAGACTGTTTTCCATAGCAGCTGCATTATTTTACATTCTCACCAGCAATGCATGACGGTTCCAATTTCTCCGATTTTTCCTCTTTCTTATTATAGCCATCCTAATGGATGTGAAGTGGTATTGCATTGTCGTTTTCATTTGCATTTCCCCCATCTGGCTAGTTTTTTACAAAACTATTTTAAATGCTTTTCTGGAGGCCATTTGCCTGACAAACTTAACCTTCCCTCTAGAACATGATCCTGCATGGAACATATTGCAAAAGGGCTCTCAAACCAGTAAGAGCAGTCACAGACCTTCAGCGTGAAAGCCCTGTGCTTTGCCCGTAGGCCCCTCATTCAGTGAGTAACTAACTTTTATTCAACAGTTGTGATTGGCTATTATGTTTTCCAGAAGGGAGCTGGACAACCCCCTATGACAAATGTTGTGGCAGGACTAGAAGTGACAATTAGCAATTTGCCACTGAAGGAGGAGAACTATAATACCTCCCAGGACATTTATGACCCCAAGTCTTCAACCAGACGCCAAACTATGTTCAATATTTTATAAGAAGGCAAAACTACGTCTAGTACATTTTAGAAAGATTTCCATGAAGAGTGACTCAGAGAAACACGTTTTTCTCTTGAATGGATAAGCGCGTGTGAATATTCTAGATGCTTAATTTCCAAATGGTATCTGAAAAACTAGGTGATATTGATTTTACTCTTGAATGCCAAAAGGACAAACAGAAAATTCAGATTCTGTAAAATTATTGAAGATATTGTTTAAAAAAGTAAATGAAATGTTTTTAAGAACTTGATGCTACTTTTTTGATGAAGTTAATTAGTTGATTTGTCTGATACTCAGAGCTTACTTTTGCTTTAGAAAATCCCTTTTGTTTCTGTATGTGTTCATGGCAGTAATGCCAGTAAATTAACCTTTCATCTATCTTCCAAGCTGAGTTGCTAGAAATTGTTGCTGGTTGACACTGGGTTAAACTGCAAACCTTAAAACTGCACAATATTTAATGTATGATTGAACAGTGCTTTCTGTCTCACTTATTTGTATATGCTGAAACTTCCTTCTGAGTTGTTCCAATATCCCTTCCTAGAGCCTAATAACAGAGCATACACAGAAAAGAAACTCAGCATCCTTTCAAAGGATTTCTTTCTTTATCTGAAGCACATTTTACATTTCCCTCCCTTCTCCTACCTCCTTTGCAGTAGGTCTCCAGCTAGTCATGTCATGACTGTTTTACGTGGTCATCAACAATTACATTTAAAATACACACACAGAGTTACCTCTTGGAGCAACTTAGATTTTCTTAGCAATGTCTGTTTTCTGGATTTTGAGAGCAGATAATCAAGCCTTCAGTCAGACTGTAGAAAGCTAGTTTAAAGACAAGTCTTTGGTAGCCTCTAAAAACTGGAGACGCGCAGGTGGATCATGACTGCATAAGGGGCTGTCGTGTCAAGCTCTGGTATTTTCTGTGCGGTGGGCCCCGAAATGAATTTCTGCCCCAAAACAGATCAAAAGGAGACAATCTTTTTTTTAAGTTGGGTTGTTGCCCAGTCTTGTATGCAACAGTAAATCTACGCTTTTGCTTCCTTTTACTATGCACTATCCTATACTGGGAATTACCCTTTTTATTGACAACGGCTGACTGTACTAGATACTGTCTGTATCTAGATGCTTCCTGTTGTAATTAGGATATGCTTACTTCTTTTCCAAATCTAGAGTCGAAAACGGAAGCATTGTATTGTATTAGCTAATTGTATTTTTTTTCTTGCAGGTTTCTGAAAAGTGCCTTTTCTGAAAGCTGCTGCTTGGATTCCACTCTAGAGCTGTCTCTTTCTAAAGCCCTCTCCCTGCCACCACCACATCTCCAAAAACCTGGTGTGCTTGTAGTTCACTCGCAGCAACTCGGCCGTTCTTTTTTTCTTTGATTCTCAGTTTTCATAGTCATTTTCCCTCCTTCTGATTTTGCAGCAAAAAAGAAAAAAATTACGGTTGTACCATCCTTACCAATCTCAATTTTTAAAGCCAGGAAATAGGGAGAAAAACCTTTCTCCCCTTGATCTGAGACCATTCCACAAACTGAAGGGCAGCCAGCAGCATATGCTTTTTGTGAGAATAATTGAAAACATCAACTGGAGAGCACAAAATTCTTTTGAAAGTCTGCCAGTTACTTGAAGTAACTTCAACAGAGGAACAAAATAAAACACTCAATATTTTAACCTTTATGGTTACCTTCTTAAAAGAGTTGGTCTCTAATTTGATTTTTAGTTATTCTGATACAATTTTTATTTTATGATTGACTTTTGTTTGACTAGACCGAATTTGACTTAAATTTAAAACCTAAGTGCTAACAACGAAACATTTCACCGAAGCAACCTGTTATCTCTTCACATCCATCTTGAATTCATTTTTAACCTTTAACAACAGCAGTAATATTGTCCTAGAGAGGGTGTACTTGATTTTAACTTTGCTTTCACTATGACGGCTGTCAACGTTACCCTGGTGCGTGATACCAAGTGGCTCACTTTAGAAGTCTGTAGAGAATTTCAGAGAGGAACCTGCTCTCGAGCTGATGCAGATTGCAAGTTTGCCCATCCGCCAAGAGTCTGCCATGTGGAAAATGGCCGTGTGGTGGCTTGTTTTGATTCCTTAAAGGTGAGTCTCATCTAAATGCACATAACGGTTAATTTAAATTTGTTGATTTCTGTTTTTTAAAACATCATGTACTTTGAAATTAGTAAAGTTAATAATAACATGAAAGCGGTAAGTTTTGTTTGTTTGTTTTTTAAGACAGGATGTAGACTTTGTGTTTGTAGAACTAAGCCAGACTAAAGCTTATGCCATCAAAGCCTACTGATCAAGATAGATAGACTTAAAAAAGTTGAAGAATTTGTAGGAGTAAGAAATTGTAGTCTTGCCAAACTCTACTTCTTTGTATATGATTTAGATTTTGAATACAGTGATCATAATTCTCATAGAACCTACAGAAACCCTTTACTGAATTATAACTTACCTGTTATCAAAATACACTTGGCAGGGACCTATCAGCTTTCAGAGAATAAAGAGCATAAGGTGAAAATCGCACCATCCAAGAGGAAAATGATGGTAATTTTGAGTTTCGTAGTTGAAGTATATTTTGAACCTTTAATTAAACATGTTGCTATAAAACTAAGTTCACTTAATTTTCTTCCCAAACTGCTTATTCACCAGCCTCAGATTTGTGAGTGCATTTTATAAGGAAAGTCTTATTGCCAAGGTCATCAAACCAAAATATTATTACTACAATATAAACAAAATATGAGAGCAGATGAGATATTATGTAGAATAGAACATATATGCTTGTAGAAAAAGAAAATGCACTGATTTTCATGTTTTATTCATAGTTATACTTAAATTAGGGATACAGATGTACAAATTAAAACCTAGAAGTAAAAAATGGTAATAGATTCCAGGTTTAATTAATAAGATTTGCTACAATACATTCGAGATTTTTTTTTCAAAATATGTCAAGATGAATTAAGCTTAGTAAGAACCTTTTCAATTTCTTGATATTGTTTTATCCTCATCATGACCAATTTTACCTCATTAACATTTTTATTTATGGCTTCATTGGCTGATAGGGATGTATTTCTTCATGTGATCATTTCTTCAGAAAAACATTTTATCAAGTGATATCCTATTTAAGTAGTTACTTTTACTTATTTTGTGGTTACTAGCTTTTGTTGCAGACCATTCCAGTTCAAGAATGGAAATATCATAAAGATAATGGTAATTCCTACCATTGAAAATGTCTGAATTGCTCTTATTTGCAGCATATATTATGACTAAAGGGGTTATTCTGTTTTCTTCATGTCAGTATCATTGAAGTTTCATATACAATTATTTTGTGTATTGTTTAAATCTACTGCTGCAGGACTAGGCAGTGCCTTGAAGTGGAAAAGAGCACTGGGCTAGTTGGGGGAAAAAAACGAGACGTCTTTTATCCAGTCCATATAGAGGGTCCGGCACCGCACTAGGCACTTTCCATATGTTGTTTCAGGATATCTGGGGTACAGTCCCGGCCCCACTACTGTATCTGACCTTTGCTACTTCATGTGACAAAGCTTGAGTTACTTTATCTCTAACAGATGGATAATTCTTCTGTACCTAACTTCCAGGATTATTGTAAAGATTCCAATGAGATAACATAAATGAAAAACCACGTATCACTATAAAAGTGAATTAAATGGAAGATTATTTTCTTACTATTAACTAAGTTGTTTGTTTTAGAAGTTCTACAAAATGATTCTATTTAGTCAGGGTTTATTGTTTAAAACTACTAACTCATGTTCCAAATGGACATGCCCAAATCCAGTTGCTATGAGTGTGATGTTGGTTATTCAAGCTGATTATTAGTATTTTTGTGGTTTACTTTTTGACATAGAGTTCCTTGCAGGCTTTGTAAATTCTGTCTTTCCAGGCCTCTGGTAGAAGATGTGTGATCTTCCTAATTATTGGTATGCTTTGGTCACTTCTCCCGTTTAAAGGCAAAAAAGTGCCATTAAAGGAAACATTTTGAAGAAAAGTAATAAGGAAAGTGATTGTTAACAAAATGCATAAATGGATACTGCACTACCACTTTAAAGCTTGGAAAATGTTTAATTCAGAGACTACATAGATAATGGCCAATGAATATTAATAAGCCACTTAATTACTTACATACACTGTCTACTCACTGCATCCAGTGTTTTAAGAATAACTTTTGCATTATGTTAATGTCTTGATGACCAGTCACATAGGATAAAGACGATTTACATAATCTTTACATTCTCAAATTTTAATGAAAAATGTAATATTTCAAATATTCAAAGACTTTCAATTAACTAGTTTGCCATTTAGATGGCACATTCATCACAGTTCCATGTCTGCACACCAGCTTTGTTGTTCTTTTCTTTTAGATTATTCCTAATCCCGGATGTGCATGAAAGCTATACTAACTTGAGGGTAATTGACCTATGTGGATTGTACTACTATTATATCTATAATACACAAATAACATACCTCAATAATTATTTCAGCATTTACTACCCCCCTCAAATTTGTATAATTGAAACACCTCTGAAATGCATCTGTGCACCATTTCTTCCATGAGTGGTTAAATAACTGAAGCAATCATCTGATGAGTTTTGGGCTGTTGCTTTTGTTTTTTCAATTTTTGCTTTTGTAAGGTTTCTGTTAGCACGAGGTACTCTATCAGATGATGATGGTTTTTTGTCTTCATAATGCACACAATAGATACAATGTTCTACACTCACCTCATAATGAAGGAATGTTATGAAAATAAGGAGGTCAAGCTTGATGACTAATTGTGTATTGTGCTGAAGTGCTGTGCCCATCATTCCATGAATGTTGAGTGTTCAGTGATGAAATTTGTACCATTTTCAAATCGACATCTAGACAGTGCAGCCCATAGATTAATTTCCAGCTACATAAAAGAGTCTCGTGTCATGTTGATATGCAGCTATTTTTTTCTCAATTGTCTAGTCTGGTTGGCATGATTTATTTCAAAATTTCTCTTCAAAGTATTGCTTAACCCATTCTATGCCAATTTCATGATATTACAGTTTGCCAATGATCTAGGTTGGTATTTTTAGTGAATGTCCCTTAGATTTTAACAAAAGATCATCACTAAAAATTCCAATCTAGAATCTTTGTGATTGTTTCCATAGCCAAGATTGTTATGTTCATGTATTCTGCTCAACAATGTCACAATGTCTTGAACCTTCCCTTCCATACTCGAAGCGATATGATATCAGACATCTGTTATCCAGGAAGAATATAAATCCTGTCATTATTGAATTATGACAGATCAACACCCGTCACATGTGCCCACCTCACTCACTACTTTGGGTAGTTTTGTAATAAAAATTTCTCGGCAAAGGCCTTAGTAGCAGGCATAGTCAGAGGACAGTCTTGTCAGCCCAATGTATATTTTAGGAATATACATTCCTAAAAGATGGAAACTGAGTGAGGAACACACATAAAATGGCCCCACACTATGTCTTCAAACTTCACATATGATCACAAGCATAATAATATTTTGACAAGTGAAACCTGTTGTATGCCAGGCATATGGATGTGAGTCTATCCTTGTAGGTCAAATTGTCCTAGGTTACCAGTGTATTCTGTACTAGTATCACTAGTAACAGTAGTTTTCACTAGTTTAAAATTTGATTATTTTTGACTGAATGTTTATCCCATCCCTGTTTGCTAAGGGAAAACTTACTAGAAGCAGAAGACTCCTAATAACATGCTCCCAAGGGTTTCTGGATTATGCAAGATTTAGAACCATTTATGAGCTCCATCAGAGAGATCTACCTGCACTATAAAGACACATGGGTAGGATCTGTCATCTTGAGACTCAAGGAAAATAACATTTTACTTAAGGATGTCTATCTTCTATGATACTGACCTTAAAAAGGAAGTATCTTTGGCAAAAGTCAACGCTGTTTTGGACATTTCAAAGACCTCTTTTGAAAGAAAAGTAAAATTACAATTAGTACCCTAACAAATACGTATTTATAACTTAGCCTCACTTTTTAAACTTTTTATTTTGAAATAATTTTAGACTTACAGAAAAGTTGCAAAATAGTACGAGTCCCTGCATACCCTTCACCCAGCTTCCTGTAATGTCAACAACTTACATACCATACATAGCACAGTTATCTAAACCAGGAAACTAACTCTAGTATAATACTATTAAGTAAACTAGAGACCTTATTTGAATTTCACCAACTTTGTCTGTAATGTTCTTTCTATGTTCCAGGATCCCACATTGTGTTTACTGGTCATATCTCTTTAGTCTCCTCCAATCTGTGACAGTTCCTCAGTCTTTCCTTAGCTTTCATGATCTTGGCATTTTGGATGAGCACTGGTCAGTTATTTTGCAGAATGCCTCTCAATTTGCGTTTGTCAAATGCTTTCTCATGATTTGATTGCGGTCATGCATTTTTGGCAAGAAAATCACAGAAATGGTGTCCACCATATCTGAGGGTACATGATGTTGTGTCTTCTCACTCATGTTAACCTTAATAACCTGATTAAGATGGTGTCTGCTGGGTTTCTCTGCTGTAAAGTGATCAGTTTTCTTTTTGTGAAAATTGATAAATACCTTCATTTATTCATTATCTCCTCAACATACAATTGATTATAAGGGGCATCCCAATATCCAAGCTGTGAAAATGTGAACAAGCGTCCATCTGAGAAGTGATGGGTAATGCACTTCTGTATTTAAGGTCAATCAAGTAGGGTAGGGAGGGGAAAATAGACCAAGGGCATGACAGAGAAAGTAGCAGCAATAGGCCATCAGAAAGAATACTGGAGAATGGGAAGCCCAACAAGTTTTGCGATATGCGTGTCCCTGTCACATGCTCTTGTGGGGTGGCCCCTGCGTTGGAGTCAGTGCCTCGGGCTACCTCTAACTTATTATCCCACGTTGGGAAACAGATTTTCTACCTTTGTTTTCATAATAAATAAAATTTCTCTCCGATTTTAAAAGTTGTGCCTCTTTCTGAAGGGAAAGGAAAATACAAAAGAAATTTTTACAATCATACACAAGAAGATAAGAATAAAAATTAAATGTAATAAAATGTGAATAAAATGTAATAAAATGTCAT